ATATATATATATATATAACAAAAAAAAGTCAATCATTCAATCGATCATTCGATTAATCCAATGACTCCGGTTTGTCGTGCGGGGTTTCTGACATGTCATCRAGTTGGTCACTCAGTCGCTGCATTGGATRYGTGTCAGGCGGTCTGGCCGAAGTTCAATCTGTCAAGAAGTTTGTGAGTCTGTMTCTAAATCAGTCTCTTTTCCAGTGCATCTGTGACRATGCAAGTCACTGAGTCTGTCAGCCGATGACTGTTTGCTGATTACAGGACCGGACGTTGTTCTTGTGCGATTTGGCAGTTCATCCGTTTCGAGATTGTGTTGCCGGCATTGCACCGTCCAGCACGCACCACACGCGCGGCGCGGGAGAGGGCCGCCCATGTGTCATGGATGACGCAACTGTCGGTTGCACGCCTGATGACGGCAGGTCAGCAGAACGGCCACCCACTTGGCCCGCGCGTGGCAACGCCACGCCGGTGTCACCGCATGCCRGACAGCGCGGTTTGCTGGGAGTATCCCCTTATGGCAGCCCGGATGACATGCGATCAACAAAGAGGCCTCGTGTTCACTCTCTTTCGCCTACGGTCGTCGTCACTCCCGGCGTTGCAGTTGTGCATTCTTCGTTGCCGCCCTTATTGCCGTCTCCAGCGCGCCGTCCATACACTCCGGTACACCCTTTGTCGGATTTTGATGCGTTGTGTTTTYCTATGCTGTCGYCGCCATTGCAACCTCGCCGTTTGCAGTTTCTGTCGTGTGCTGCGCAACCATTTTCTCCTCCACTTTTCGTTGGACGCAACGGGTTGGACTTCATCCCCCTAGAGGGGTGTTCTCAATCATCAGCAGCGGTGTTCGAAAGTGGAGGGTCCACACTGCGTGACGGAGGACGTCGAAGTGTAGAACCGTGAGTCTCCCATTCATTCGCTGCATCAGGTCATGGACAAGGGGGTGTATTGGATGATGCACGTCGTGCCACTGCCGGGGACACACATGACCGTAATTCCGCCCGTCGCCCTCTCGTCTCCCGGTTTGACGAGGATGACATTGTGTGTGGTAGCGGAGATGGGCCCGATCGTTGCGATCCTGGCGCTCAAAATCTTTGTGCGGGTCCTTCTGAACACTTGGGCGGGTCCTTGGGGCAATTCGGTTCGCAGTCAACTGGTTCCGCGAAGTACTCTCGTTTGTTCCTGACTACCGCTTGCAAGGAGAGACTGCGCCTTTTACAATCTGCGATGAAAGAAGTGAGCGACAAGTCTGAGGTCATGAGCGATGTCGTCGACCGACTGTTGCATTGGTCATYGCCAGCCATCCGGTCAGAGTTTGGGGATGGTGTGGCGTCGAGGATCGAGAGAACACTACCGGTCGGCAGTCGTGCAGATGTGTTTCGTCTCGGAGCAGGAGGGGATAATTTGACAGCGGACGCTGAGGATGATGGCGAGCGTGAGGGTGAAGGGAGCGGTGAAGGCAATTGCGGGTCATTTTGTGGGTCGGATGATTCACTACCGCGTCCAGGGTACGGGTCACAGCGTGGCCGCAGATCGCGCGGGCGGCCACCAAGCCGTGGCAGGTCGCGTTCGCGTTTCGAACATGTACGTCCTTTGTGCTGGGATGATTCGAAGGATGGTGCTTTGCAAAGCGGACTGAGCAATAATCGGTCTGCACATGTGTTCGAATCGATAGGGCACAAGGAAGGCTCGAAAGCGCATGATGTTGTCTTCATGGAGCCGGTGAAGTTGTTGCAGTTGCTCGGGTTGTTCGATTTGAGTTTCCCGCGCCACGGGGCCGGTTGTGCTGTGGATGTGTCCTCTGTTGGTTATCCTGGGCAAATTTGTCGTATTTCGCTCGCTTGTAAGAAGTCCTGTCGTTGGACATGGCACAGTGCACTGGTTGTGGGAGCTGTGTACTCTTGCAGACTTCAGCAGCAGTCGTTCCATGCGACCGTCACTGCGGGTATGACATATACCGTCCTCGACGACTTCTGCATCGTGCTTGGGGTGGCACCTGTGCACAAGCCCACTTTTTAGAGTTGCATGCGCGGTGAGCCGAATGTGCGTGAGGGTTGGAATGCAAAGGTTGTCAGGCAGGGCGTGCGGTATTGCGACTTGGCCATTGACACAGTTATGTGATCAGGGAGACCCGCCACTTTGATGGTTGACGGTCGCTACGACTCGGCCAGGTCTGCGCAGCATTGCACTATTACCGCGATTGAGTGTGATACTCGTCTTGTGGTGGGTGTTCACACTCTTCGGCCAAAAAACGAGGGAAAGGCGTCGAACCAACTTGAGGCTCYTGCTGTTGTGCGCCTGTTGAGAGGCTTGCTGTCGAGGGGGTTGAAGATCCGGTGTGTTGTCTCCGACGATTGTGATGCATTGGATCCACAGTTGGAGCGCCTGGGTATTGAATGGCAKAAGGATTGCCATCATWAGGTAAAAAACATTCGCAAGGCACTTAGAAAAGTCGTGACACTGAAGGTGCCAAAGAAATTGAACAACCCTCATCAGTGCGTGTCGGAATCTCAGTTTATGCACTTCACGGAGAAGGAGCTGTTGGATGCCTTGATGGACCGTTTTGGACCAGGGTGTCTGACGGCAAAAGAAGAACGATTGAAGAAGAGTGACTTCGTCGCTGTTGTGATGAGCAAAATGTACCCGTACGACACGATGAAAAACAACAAATCCTTGGTCGTGGATGCAAATGGTGTGGCTGAGTTTCATATGCATGAGGTGGGGCATTGGTTTCTTCTACTTCCCAGCTTTGCAGAGATGAGGGCGGCGACTTTGTCACTCTACACAATGATGTCATGATGATCGCCGACCATTGGGTCGGGGACCACTCCAGGTGCGTTGCGGACAAAGAGCTTYTATGCTCAAAGGCGGGTGGCCCATCTCGGTTGCCTCTGTACACGCACGACGACCCCRTGTATGACATCATTCACCAGACGTTGGGCAGGCATTGCAGCACGACCGTTTGTTCGTACTACACGGAGTTCCGTCACACGTCGACGATTGAGACGTTCCAGGGCACAATCATCATGTACGCAAAGAAGGCCTTGCACTTCGAGAAGTCGTATGAGCCGCGTTTGGCGATTGCAGTCATTCGATGGAACAGTCATGCATGGCAGAATCCCTTGGAGTATCGTGTCCGCAGGCCTTCTGGGACTTCGATTCGTCCAAGGCCGAGCCACTACCGTCACAATCGGCCACCTACCGATTCGTGGATGGATCGGGTGTCCACGTTCATCTTCGGTTCAAAATGCGTTTCAGATTGGGCTCGACGCCTTTTCGAGTACGACGACTGTGATGTGTCGGGTGAGGTCCGGTCATCGACACCTCCTCTGCCTCGCATTGTTTTTTGCAGAGGCGAGGATACCATTGCCCGTGACGAGGACGAGGTTGCTGCAGGTGCGGATCCCGACGTTGTGGGGGATGACGATGTCTTCATCATTGGTGACGGGGATGGGTTGGATGCCGTGTCCGATCGATCATGCGATTCTCTATCGGATGCAGATGATGTCGAGTTGTTCGATGACTGACATTATGTTATGGCGTAGTATTTTGTACGTGCGTCTTTTTTGTCTGTTGGCTTTTTAGTTTGATGTGTTAATTGTATATATATATATATATATATATTGTCACAAACAGAACTGTCCGGAAAAACCGTAGGCAGAGAGAGAGAAGAGGACAACAAACGAGGGGCTGTGACAAACTGTTTCGTCGGAGTTTCACCGACTCATCAGGAGGCTGAACCCTCAAC